ATTTGAATTTGCAACCAGTTTGCATTTTCGCAAATAAATCGTATGCTCCTTAAATTTTTATTACTAAATATTTCATTAATATTTGATATTATTGATTATTGATTATTGATTATTGATTATTGATTATTGTGTAAAACTGTTATATTGTGTAAAAATCTTAAAAAGATAAAAATGAATACTGAAATGAGTTCCCCCTTAGAGAAATTACTTCAAGAAGTTACAATGACATACATTCAGTCAATGTCATGTAATTAAGTTAGGACAAAGTCCAATCAGTTCAGTTGAAGTAAATCATTATTACTTAACCATTATATAAATTGTATATAATTACCCAGCAAATTACTCTCCTTATATAGTAGAATATTGGGATTACTTAATTAGGCTCTTTACCATTTATAGTAATTAATATTCTCAGGATAATTAAAGTTCATTACTCAAACCAGTAATGAATAGTTTAATCAATTAATTTCTTAGTTCATAGGTCATCCCATCTACCTCAGAATGGGAATATTCATTGGTAACATTCAACTTCTTAACCCAATCGAGTATTTTATTTGAATTTGCAACCAGTTTGCATTTTCGCAAATAAATCGTATGCTCACTAAATATTTTATTACTAAATATTTCAATAAATTTACGCTACCTTTGAGGATTTACTTCAACAATTAGGTGGCAAGATATCTTTTCAGATCTTCGGAAATGTACATGTAATTCTTACTAACTTATTCAACTAAACATCTTAGATGCTGAAAAAATCAACTAAAAAAGTGTGAATTTAGACATTTTGTTACTTTATTAGAGTTTAGCTGCGTAAATATTCCAGTTATAATATATAGTTTACCTTATCAGAATATACTGTATAATCATCTCTCGAATATTACTCGATTAGGTCTTTACCGTTAGTAGTATTTAATATTTTCAATTAATTACTCAAAGTAGCAATATATTAAGTTCAATAGCTTATTAACCCACTTGGCTAAACTTAAAATATTACAGAGGAGCAATTCATTTTTAACTCAAATAGCATTTTAACTTAAATAGGTATTCAATTGATTTTGCGACCAGATTGCATTTTCAATTTGCGCATTATTATTGCTTCAATATTACACATGTTGATTTTGTATCACTATTAAATCCAGGCGATTAAGAAATTTCAAATTCAGGTTGTCAAGTAGCGATACCTGCAAAATGCTTATATATGTCAGCATGTAAGTATATAAAATAAAGTGGATACCATAATATAAAAGAAGAATGAATTACCAGAAAGCCTAAAACAGTAATTAAAGTTTATTGTAATTGCTTATACTCAAACTTTATATAACCACAGTAAACACACGACTTTATATTATATATTTGGAAATTTATGTCTATTGTCCGAATGACGGAAATTGAATTCGAATTCGAATTCGACATTCTGGGCTTCATAAAGGAAGATAATACTTAAAATTAATTGAAATACTTAAACTGTTCAATCTAAGCAACTTATTAATTTAATTTAACAAATATGAACGATTTGTATCACCGAGAACTCCTTGATGATTTTGGTAAAATGTCTTTGGCTCTGACTACACAACAGCATACTCGTCGGAAAACTATTAAGTCTAAGGTGACTTGTTATAAGTGTGGTGGTATTGGCCATAGACAGAATGTTTGTCCTTCTCGTGGTGACGGTGATTTTAAATCTGCGCCATCTAAACCTCCCTTTAAATCAGGTGTCCAGGCATTCTCTGTTAGAGAGTCCTGTGGCGATGAGGCTTCAAACACTAACCATAGAAGTGTATTCTTTTTTGATACCTGTGCACTTGTTCATGCTACCAATCAAAAAGACTTACTCCATGATTTTACCCCTGGTCGACCTGGTACAATTACTGAAATTAGGCCTAATACTCCGTTAGAGGTCCTTGGTACTGGCACCTTGAAATTTAGGTTACCTGATGGTTCAATACTTCCTGTTAACGATGTGCGGTATGTTCCTTCCTGTGCTCGTAATTTAATCTCTGCTGCAATCTCCCGTCGGGCAGGCTTTCACGTGCTGCGCGATGGTGTTTTTGACAATAACTTGGGTATTCAGATTGCAGTCTATACGACGCCAGATAAGGGTGCACTTCTTAAGCTTTTATTCCCATGCTTACCTGCTAGAAATGCATCTTCTAATACTACACTTGATGATATCAATCTTCTTGGTCATCCTAATCAAGCTGCTGATGCTGTTAAATCTGAATCGATGGACAGTCTTTGCGGTGCGTATGGGAAAACGACTGGTTCTGTTCCGAAGGCTTTAGATGTCTCTCGTGGTTCTGTCAAAGCTCCATTAGAACTTGTCCATTCTACTGTCTGTGGGCCGTTTTCTGAGCCAAGCTTAACTAAAGACTTGTATTATGTTGTCTTTGTTGACGAATACACTCATATTATGGCAACGTATTCTATGAAACAAAAATCTGATGTGTATGAGTGTGCACGCTCCTATTTTCTTCAATGTGAAAGATTCTTTCACGATCGTGGTGGCTACAAACCAGTTACTTTTCGTACTGATAACAGTAGTGAATATATGTCATCCAAGTTGCAGAGCTTTCTTAAAACTCATGGAATCGCTCATCAAAATTCTGCTACATCCAGCACTTACCCGAATGCTGTCAGTAAACGAGCCGTCCGTACCATCAAAGAAAAGAGTCTTGCTATGATTCTTGACGCGTCTGTGCCTACATGTTTTTGGGCTCACGTTGTTGCATGTGCTGCTTATCTCCTTAACCGTTTACCATCGACTGCAATCGGCTACCAATTGCCCTATGAACGGTGGTATAAAAGTCTACCTAACCTAGATCATTTGCGCCCATTTGGATGCTTGGCGCATGCCCGTATTCGAGAACGGTTGAGATCATCATCATGGTCTCTTCGTACTATTCGGGGTATTATGATCGGTTATACTCAGAACGAAAATGAATATCGTATATTTGATCTTGATTCAGGTAGAATTGTTGTCAGTGAAGATGTTCAGTTCGATGAATTTTCATTTCCCTTTAAAAATATGACTACAGTTCCTCGTGGTGTTGCTTAGTTAGACTTTCAGTTGAAGAAAGATGCTGAATTTTGAATCTGACTTCTTTGACCATCATGGTCTCTCCTCGCAAAGTGAATTTACGTACTATAGCTGTTAATTTAGAGCAAGGATGGTGAGAAGAGCTAGTATCTATTGATCCTAGGGTCGCGAAAGTCTGAAAAACATTTAAATATTCCACAATTTATTATTTTAGGATACTAAACATTTGTTCATCACTTGAGTAAAACTCTTTTATTTCGAACTCAAAATTTCCCATTTCTTCCTTAACTCTTCCAAAATGTTCATAATTCTAATAACGACTGCCATTATTCGATGAAGGTCTCGTGCGAAAATAGCCCACTTTTCGAATATTTCTGCCATTATAGAAGTATGTGATATTCAATAATAAGAGTATTATCAGTAGAAGTCAAAATTATAATTTTATATCATCTCTAAATCGTATATATTCGCCTGTAAAACCCACGTCCATGTGAGGTAGAACACTAGGATTATACAAGTACGTTTTCCGTCATTAGCGGTAATACTTTTGTGTCTGTTTTTTGATATATTTCAACAATAAGTATAATTTCCGAAGGTCAAATTAAATTTCCAAAGATTAATTTCCTAAAATAAAAGTTGATTTGATTACATAATTGTCTTGACTATAACGGACTAACTAAAACCTGAACAAATAGCGTCTCCAGGTTGGGATTAATTAATATATTTTATCAATAATTAAACTATATGCTATAACTGATACATTCATTGATTTTGAACTGAAATATTAAGCATATAAAACATTAGAATGGGTTCTGATTTACGCGATTTAATTCGAATTGCTTTGGACGATGTTGATTCCAGTACTGTCCCAGACCCACTTAAGCTACACGATAAGCGAAATTATAAGGATTGGGCTCGGTTGACCATGAAAAGTGTGCTGCATTTGAATTGTTTTTTGGAAATGTATCTCAATAATCAATTCAGGGAAATCCCAGGAGTAAGTAATCTAGATTCAGCCGAGCAGGAGCGTGTTAGAATGGATTATGAAAAGCTTACGAGCAGTTTGGTGCGTATTTACATTGATGAACCCTTGTTTCAGGTCTATGTAGTCCATAAAGGCTTAAGAGGTCTTGAACTATGGAATGCTCTTTATAATGACTTGGGCCATTTTTCCTTCGCACAACAATTACATTTTCATTCGGAATTACATACGATGCTTCACGACCCTAAGACTACTATGTTGGAAAAGCTTGCCCTCATCCAATATGCTGATCCAGATATTCTTCCTGTTTCCGATGAATACAAGTTTGTTATGTTCGCTACTGTATGTGGTAACAGCGCTGTCAAGGATATATTGGTTCGTCTTCATCATGAGTCTGATAAAGTGACCTGGAAGGCTTTGAAAGAAAAAATTCTAGACATTTCTGACAAAGAAGCCGTATCTGATACCTATGAGGCGGTTTCAGGGAAACCTCCTCCTAGAATATTAATTAGATCTAACGTGAACTGTTCCAAATGCGGTGGTGTTGGCCACAAATCAGATGTATGTGTTTCAATGGATGATGAAGAAAGGATCAAATTAGAGCCAGTGTCAGGAAAGGTCAACATAGCACCTGACTCGTTTCCTAAGGACGAATTTTATCTTGATTCTCGTGTATCACATCATATTACTCACCAAAAGAAACTATTGCATAATTTTTCAAGGAGTTCTGGGACAATTAAGGGTCACGGTGCTCTGTTCAGGATTGCCGGGTCTGGATCTTTGAAGTTCAAACTACCAGATGGTAGCTCCCTTACTCTTACTGATGTACAATATGTACCTTCCTTTGGGCGTAATTTAGTCTCAATCCTTCAAGTGAATCTGCGTGGTACGAATTTCACATTTAATCACAATAAGGTAATGGCATCTGACCTGGGAATTCCTGTTGCAAGTCTCATTGTGCCTGAACATGTTTTACTCTATCAATTTTCATTACCTTGTGTCCCTCCATCCAGCTAGGACTTAATACGATATTAGTATGTCGAAGTAGAAATATAAGATAAAAAGTCGCTGCAGTCTTTATATAGTAGTACACCTGCCTTGAACGAAACTTGTCCATCGGTTACGAGAGGTTAGAAGAAACTGAACATTCTAGAAGTATGGCATTAGCTGAAGAAATAAACTGTTAGAGAAAAAAAAACCTAATATACGGTCTGTTTATGCACATCAATGATATTTTATCTGGATAATCTGGCGTATACAAGAGAGTCGAGGATAGAAGGCTAACACTACATATATATCAGTTGGTATGCTTAATGGATTTTAAATGACATCGTCCCTGAAGGTTTACATATACGAAAAAAATTCCTTTACATAGCCATCATTAGTATAATCATATATACTTAGAGGCACAATAAATATTATTAAACAACTGTATGATTTTTCAAAGCTTATGCGGTTTTCAATAATTGATTTATTTCGTCATCGCTTCTCACCATCCATAATAATACGTTCCTTAATACACTCATAAATTTTAATTATTTTGTCATACTTTCAATTTCTCCCTTGAATGAATGTTTCGAACTTCAAATATTTCTACCATAGGTACGCTCAGGCTCAGCATTCACCCCAATGTAGCGAATCAATCTCTACCTTTTATCGTGTACCAGTCCAGTGGTCAGTTGCTTATAAAACTCCAAGTAGCCATTAAGACCCGTCGTGAGTTGCTCAATTTGGGCAAGAGACATTAAAGGTGACAATCAAACATCTGCTAGAGTTCTATAATCACTATTTGAGATAGGATCATAGGCATCCGGAGAGTTACGATTTCCTCCTCTTCCCTTGCATTGGTTATCAAAGCGTGAACCTAAATTTTTGTTCGATATTTCTAAGTTAGATAAGCGCCTGTTCGTTTCAATTCGAAACTCTTTCATTTCGTCCTTGAACTCTTCTAATGAGTTGTTAATTCTAACAATATATGTCATCATTTGATTAAGGGCCGCGTTGCCTAAATCTGGAACTTGTTCATGAGCAGAACGTGTACCATCAGGGTTTAAAATAGGTACTCATTCATCCTTTCCACATTCAGCGAAATATCATTCAATTTGTGTCCCATACTATTAGAAAACGTTATAAGTTTTCTTGTTTTATAACCTGTGGCTGTCTGGTCATAGAACATTTTTGCGTATGCTATCGTCACGAGATTCTACTTGCAAATTGGCAAAATAGCGAAGTGCTTCATTCAATAAGGAAGGCTCAACCCATTCTAGGGCATTAGTTGGGCCATTTATCCCTGAGGGTGGTTCTAAAATTGGTTCTAATTGTATATCTGAGATCTGTGTCTTTTGTGAAAAAGCTTGTTAAAGAAAGATATATCTGACATATTTTTATTCGTAAATTAGGACCCTTTTTATATCTTCTATTTTTACATTTGTGGAAGCACAACGAAGATTATTTACAAATAGGCTATTTGTGAATTTTCTAGACAAACGATTCAAGTTCGCCAACTGCATGCTTATAACCAGTCAAATATCTCATACGTATTCTACAGTGAAAAGGAATTTGGATTTTATCAAAGTAAATACACTGCATCATTAGACATATTTCGCAATTGTAACTTTTGATAATGGTTTGTTTCAACAAATATTTTAGTTGCACTCGAAATTATATATGCAACTTCATTGTCCTACAGTTCCCATGTTACACAAGCCTTGAATCTATTTGCTAATCTGAATATTCTTCCCGCTCTCGAAGAACACACGAACAATCATCCTCTTAGGACATTAATTAGATCTGAATTAGTGATGTTAACCACAAATAAGAAGGTTTAAGGACTTGAGTTTGAGTCTAAATTTAGTTGCAACTTTAGGACTACAATTCCCGTCGCTTCATTTTTAGGAACCAATGGGAAGTCAGATTCATTAGAACCATGTAGATTGTTACCAGTGTTCATTGTTCATGATAAGAAGCTATACAATGACAGTAGGTTATGCACTAGAACAATTACTAGATAAGCTTATCTTGTCGTTATCAGTTGGACAATAGACCTTGTGAACATAGTATTGTATATTAATGAAATAATTAATATAATGTTTCGCAGCCTGTTTGACCTCGCACTAAATATTTCCATCTAAAGTTGAACTTCAATTAAATAATTTTCGGAACTTTCAACTTTTATTGATAACCCACTTACTTGATAAGATGTCACAATTAAACGAATATATTGAAAGAGTACTTGCCGCCAATTTTTTCTTTCATGTTTCTGAATTTATTAAGCTACGGGGTGTGGATAACTATAAGATTTGGGCTAGGTTCGTGCTAAAGAAGATGAAAGGAATGAATTGTTTTTTGGAAATGTATCTTAATAATCAATTTATGGAAATACCTAGCGTATGTGATTTGAATGAAAATGAGCAGAATCTTATTAAACTCAATTATGATGATCTTACAAGCCAGTTGCTACCAAAATCCCTTAATGATGCCTTGTATGAAACTTATTGCGTAGATAGAGGCTTAAAAGGTGTTAAATTATGGAATGCTCTTTATAGTGACTTTGGTCATTTCTCGTTTGAGCAAATTTTGGACAGGCAGTCAAAGCTAGATAAGCAACTTCATGATCCTGCTGTTTCCATGTTAGAGAAAATTAAACTACTCGAGTTTGCTGACCCAGAGATTCTTCCCCTTTCCAAGGAACAAAGAATTATGGTCTTTGCAACTGTTTGTGGCAACAGGACAGCCAAAACAAGGTTGATTCGTCTTTATGAAAAGTCACCGGAGAACTTGAATTGGAAGGCTTTGAAGGATGAGATATCAGACGTTTTTGATGAAGCTTGCAGGCCGCAGAAGCAATATTAAATCTTAATTGACTTTTTACAAATGTGGCGGTATTGGCGACAAATTAAATGCATGTGTTTCTCGAGATGATGAAACAAAAGACAAATTCAAGACTTGTCTATGAAAGAGTCGGACATGTGCCTAGCCTAAGGAAGGGCTTATCTTGATAACCGTACCACATATCATGCTATTTAATCTTTAATTTGATTATCACCAAATTAAATGATTTATTTGATGTTATAATAGGATACCTGATAAACTGTCCTCTTTTTGTTCACTTATTTCGTACAACGGTCAAATATGTAACCACACAGCGTATAGTCTAGTTATAAGCTCATAGAAGAAAAGCATGCTACATAAAAATAAAAATACGATGTTTTCAAAGTCTGGTTTTTGATTTATACACAAGAAGCTTCTATAAATAAATATATGAATCTAATCTAGGATTGTTGGTAAAAACCTTGGGAGACTAAATACTCAACTATTTCGCCGATAACAGATGTCAAATCTTCCTTCAAAGAGAATATTCCTTGGTCAGCATTTTGCTCGCCATTGAAATTGACAATAATAGAGTTTCCACTTCCGACAGCCTTGACAATATCAGATTGGTTTGATTTTGTTGGTACTATAACACCAGATCCAGATTTAACTAATTCATTAACGATGAAAGGAGTAGCTTGTTCACTAGATAACTTAGTGATACGACGTTCACCTGAAAATTGGTTCAAGGTAGATTGCAATGCGAAAGATAAGTATTCACCCTGTTTCGAATCAGACGAATCAATAACAATAGCGAAACCCTGTTTAAATCTTGGAGGGTTACTTTCTCTTAAGATTTTCACAACTTCTGGATAAGAGAACCAGCCTGGGATCTCGGTACCATCTCTTAAACGTTGTCTTAATTCAGTTCCAGAAATATTAGCAGTTTTTACTTTAGAAGTGTCAATTGTATCAATTGGAGCATATCTGTCTTCATCAGGTAAGTAAGTGACCATTCTAAAGGGGACAACCCTGATTTTTGGTTCTAATTCATCCTTATATTTTGCTAATAATTCTTGAGCATCATAGGGACCATAGAAGTCAACACCTTTAGAGTTGGAACCAGGACCAGCGTGGTCTCTACCGACAATAAAGTGATCGACACCATAGTTCATACGAATTAAACTATGCCACATAGCTTCACGATCACCACCCATTCTCATAGCCAATGGCAACAAGGATAAGGTGGCTAAACCATCTGGATATTTCTTCAAGATTTGCTGGTAAACCTTAACTCTAGTATGATGGTCAATGTCACCTGGCTTTGTCAAACCAACAACTGGATGAATTAAAATATGTCCATCGCTACCAATGTCATTCGCAGCACGAACAGTTAATTCTCTGTGGGCTCTGTGCATTGGGTTTCTAGTTTGGAAAGCAACAACCTTTTGTTGGTCCCATCCTAACTTTGAGAATTCTTCTCTTAATTCAGTTGGAGTTTTACGGAATGGAATGTAATCGTAATGGGTTGGGTAATCTAACCCTTGAATAGAACCACCAACATAGAAATCTTGAGCAGTTTCAAATAAGTACTTAATAGCAGGATGTTCAGGGTCTCCTCTGAAAACCTTTTCAGCTTCGGTTTGCTTATTTGGCTTGTAAACAGTTTCAACAGTCAACAAGGCTAAAGGTTTTTCATCTCTTAAATCCTTTAAAACAATTTTTTCACCCTTCGAGAGTTTGCCAGCAAATTCCTGACCAACATCTAAAGTGATAGGCATTGACCATAACAAGCCTTTACCGGATTTTTCATCCTTGACACTCGATAATCTCATGTCGTGGACAACACTGTTATAATCTTCTTCATTCAAGAATCCACTCAATGGAGAAAAACCACCGTTCAAGATAAGTTCCAAGTCACATAATTGTCTTGGACTTAAAGTTAAGGTCTTATATTTCTTATCAGCGATTTCTTTGAACAAATCGGATCTGATAGAACTGTCACGAATGACTAAGTCTTGTAATTTACCACCGTGAGGAGCTGGAATTGGCATTGTTAACTATTGAAAGATCGAAATAAATAGGAACTTGGATCTGTAAATTATGAAATACTTTGAAAAATCTGCTGGAACACTTCTATATATTATACTAAATCAGACAATCGCACGTGATTTTAAGACTTATTTAGCTGCCAAAGACTGCCAGAGGCTTGATCTACGGGCCGTATTCCAATATCTGCAATACGATAAGTAGTTAATATCACCCAGGGAGGACACCATTTGTGACCAATAAAAGGACTTGGTAGTCTTGAGTAAAAGCACGTAGAATTTGCGTCTAGAAGCCTATGAAAATTTGATCTTGAGATGAATTGAACAATACATAATAACATAATTAACGCAATACCCAGAAAATTTTATTGGGTCTATAATGGATACCCAATTATTCAGACTTAGTTTTTTAGTATTTACTTATTACGTATTTACGTATTTACGTAGAATATATTGCGGCTGTTATTGGTGGGGGTCATTCCAGTAATGACAAAAGCTTAATTTCTATCGACCTGGACTTGATTCAGGTCTATTTTATCCATTTCTCTATGTGAATATTATTAACACACAAGGTCGTAATAATTCACTGTAAGTCTTTAGCTCGGTTTTATTTGACAGACTTTTAGAGTGATCGAGCACTATTCGAGCACGTTAGTTCAAATGGTAAATATACTTCCGGTTATACGAAGGACTTACTAATTGAGTCATAATAATATAATGTATAGATTAGTAAAATTGCGGTACACACATATCCGAGACGACTCAAAGCAAACACGTCGAAAAATTTATATTTAATTACTTCAAAGGTAACTGTATTTTATTAAATTTGTAATTGCTTTCAATTGAAATAAATTTTTTAAAGGTTATAATATAAAATGTCTGCTCCAACGTATGTATTATTCGTTTCTTTGTTTTCCGTGAAGGTCAAATAGGTAAGGATCAAACATGTGGCGAGGGTTCCCCAGGTTCATTCTACGTGGCGGCTATTACTCCTAGGGTGGATAAAGTAGTAGGTTTGCATTAGTAAAACATGAAGGAACAATCAATGATATATTATTGTGATAGTTTTGACAGCTACTAGTTTGAATTGATGAAAGGTTGCATAGTTTGGCCGACTACCGAAATCGGATTAAGTTTTCAAAAGATAAGCATATACTAACAATTTTTGTAGTGGTGATATTGGTTTAATTGGTTTAGCCGTTATGGGTCAAAACTTGATCTTAAACGCTGCTGACAATGGTTACACTGTCGTAGCTTATAACAGAACTGTCGCAAAGGTCGACGATTTCTTGGACAACGAGGCTAAGGGCAAATCAGTCATTGGTGCTCACTCGATCGAAGAATTATGTGCTAACTTGAAGAGACCAAGAAGAATCATTTTATTAGTTAAGGCTGGTAAACCAGTTGACGCTTTTATTGAACAATTATTACCTCACTTAGAAAAGGGTGATATCATCATTGACGGTGGTAACTCCCATTTCCCAGATTCTAACCGTCGTTACGATGAATTAAACGGTAAGGGTATCTTATTCGTTGGTTCTGGTGTTTCTGGTGGTGAAGAAGGTGCTAGATACGGTCCATCTTTGATGCCAGGTGGTCACAAGGATGCTTGGCCACACATCAAGGATATCTTCCAAAGTATTGCTGCCAAGTCTGATGGTGAACCATGTTGTGACTGGGTTGGTGATGCCGGTGCTGGTCATTACGTTAAGATGGTCCACAATGGTATTGAATACGGTGATATGCAATTGATTTGTGAAGCTTATGATTTATTAAAGAGAGTTGGTAAATTCTCCAACAAGGAAATCGGTGACGTTTTCGCCAAATGGAACAAGGGTGTTTTAGACTCTTTCTTAATTGAAATCACCAGAGATATTTTGTACTTCAATGATCCAACTGACAATAAGCCATTATTAGAAAAGATTTTGGATACTGCTGGTCAGAAGGGTACTGGTAAGTGGACTGCTATCAATGCTTTAGATTTAGGTATGCCTGTTACCTTGATTGGTGAAGCCGTTTTCTCTCGTTGTTTATCCGCCTTGAAGGATGAAAGAGTCAGAGCTTCTAAATCATTAGCCGGCCCATCAGTTGAAGGTGATGAATCTCCAGTTCAAGATAAGCAAAAGTTCGTTGACGACTTAGAACAAGCGTTATATGCTTCTAAGATTATCTCTTACGCTCAAGGTTTCATGTTGATTAGAGAAGCTGCTAAGGAGTACGGCTGGAAATTAAATAACCCAGCTATCGCCTTAATGTGGAGAGGTGGTTGTATTATCAGATCTGTTTTCTTAGGCGAAATCACATCTGCTTACCGTGAAACCCCAGACTTAGAAAACTTATTATTCCATCCATTCTTCAATGATGCCATCAAGAAGGCTCAAAAGGGATGGAGATCAACTATTGGTAAGGCTGTTGAATTTGGTGTTCCAGTTCCAGCTTTTAGCACTGCTTTATCTTTCTACGATGGTTACAGATCTGCTAAGTTACCAGCTAACTTGTTGCAAGCTCAAAGAGACTACTTCGGTGCTCACACTTTCCAAGTGTTACCAGGTGAAGAAAATGATTTCTTAAAGAAGGACCAATGGATCCATGTTAACTGGACCGGTAAGGGTGGTAATGTTTCCGCCTCTACTTACGATGCTTAGAATACTTATTCATAAGTATCTTCTTCATTTTTATAGTGATATAACGGTTTCTAATTATTAACAGCTCAAATAAAAGAAGATATTCAAAATAAGTGTGTAAGCTTTAAACGAGCATATATTAAATTGATTGAAGTGAAAAAACTATTATATATATCATAGAATAGAATTGATGGTAAAATGAATCAAAACTATGGTAAAAACACGGAACAAATATAAAAACAATATAGTCTAATTATCTATTATTTTAGACTTGAAGTGGGTTTCTTCTCTTCCACTCTAAGATTAAATCGTCTTTCGGGAAGATTGTAGCGAAGACTTTAATTTCTTCGGATAACGGAGTAGGATAATGAATAATATCCGAGTTCATAACAAATTTACCTAACATACTGGTAAATAACATCAAAACATAGGTTTTACCTAAACAAATATGTGGACCAGTACCGAAAACTAACCAGTTACGCTTGTACATATCACCAGTGGCATTTTCCCATCTTTCTGGAATAAAACTATCTGGATCTTCATATACTTCTGGGTCGTGTAATGCAGGATATAATGTAGGAATGATCATGGAACCCTTTGGAGCGGTATATGTATCAGTAACTGGGAAACTCTGTTTAACGACATAAGGGACCATCAAGACTGGAGGACGGTAACGTAAAGATTCCTTAACAACATTATTAGTGTATGTCATTTCATTAATCAATTCCAAATTCAATGGCTTGGATGGATCTTGATCACGAACTCTTAATTGTTCTTCTCTTATCTTGGCAACAATATCAGGACGATCCGCTACAACTTGGAACAACCAGCAAGCCAAAGATGAAGATGCATCTTGGGAAGCAAAGAGGAAAGTAAAAATAACCTCGGATATTTCTCTGTTTGAGAACTCACGAATTAATAACTTAGATTCTGGGTCATCTGAGTGCTTTTCTCTTGCATCCTTCATTAAATAAATCCATTCATCCATAACACATCCTGGTTTACCGTTGTCTTCGTTAATATGTTTTTTAGACATACCGGCACAGGATTCGAAAATCTTCATGGTTTCATCTGCAATTTTTTTACCATACCAAGTCTTAGTGTATGGAATAATGATTGGGAAGTTGACTAACTCTAAGGCAGCAGTGATACGGAAATAGTTGTCAGTAATCAAGGAAATCTGTTCTTCAGTAATATAATCCCCACAGAAAGTTCTTAAAGAAAGAGCACACAATAATTCTCTAAACTGGGGGAAGAATTCAGTTGGACCATCCATGGTAACGAATTTTTCAAGGTACAAATCCATATACTTTTCTTGAACAGGAATATATAATTCCAAAGCTTTTTGACTAAATAAACCATTCAAAGATTTACGATAATCCGAATGTGCCTTACCATCCAAGAAAACCCAATTAGTTGGCCTTAAAATCTTAATAGCGACATCAACGACGCATGGCTTGACATATTTAGGGGAACCTAAGATCTTTCTAGCCAAGTCTCTTGAAGATGCAATAACAACAAACTTATGGAAAATCGACACACACGATAAAGGACCAGAATCCCACTTGGCCTTATATTCTTCGAATTTAGGATCTAATGATTCTAAAAATGGTCCAATGATAGGCCATACCTTCAAACGAGGACCAGCAATACTGCCCTTTCGGATTTGATACATAATCTGATCATACGACAATCCCAATACAATTGTGGTGACAATAAGTTGTAACCAGGACATATTCATGTAAAAGTCGTTAGCTGTTTTGATAAAAAAACTGGTGTCCCCGAAGGAACCAGACAAGTTGTCAACAATGTCAGACGTAGAATTCGTACTCATATTCTTAACATAAGTTTACTACCAACTCCTACTTCAAAAAGTGAAACACCTAGAAAAGAATCTCTTCCTTAAAAAAAAAAACACGGACCAAAAAAATAAAACTGGGCGACCGAAAAATTTCAATCCGGTAATAATCTATACGACCGTACCGATGGGAACGACATTTGATTTTCAGGTGAATTGTGGTTCAAAAGATAATCGCAAAATGTCGCGATGAGGTACTAATTTTTTTATGTATCTAACGATATAAAGTGAATAAAGTGAACAAAGTGCATACGTTTAGGATAGATATTGAAGGATGGGTAAAAGAAAGCAGAATAAGGAAGTTGAATCGAAGAGAAAGAAGGTTAAACAGCAACAAGATGCGCAACTTTCGACTGGATTATTTTCTTCTAGTCATGATTCACCTGAAAATGATGAAATCAGAGATTGGGACAATGAAGAACAAGATTATGAATTGAAACCAAGAAATACAAAGAATGATGTAGTTGAGGGTTTACCTATTAAGACGGCAGACGGTAGGATTGAAAGAGTGGTAAGAGAAGTTGCAGAGGAAGACACTAATCCAGAGGAACCAGAAATAAAAGAACCGGTGGTGGAGAATAAGGAAGATAATGACTCAGAAGACGAAGACGACGAAGACTCTGACTTGACGCCTCTAGAAAGATTAAATAAGATTAAGGAAGAGGTTGCAGATTTGGCATCGAAGCTCATTGAAGACCCGGAAGAAAATGCACTGTGTCTTACTAGATTGAGAAAAATGTCAGAATCACGTAATATGGTTACTTGCCAATTGTCCATGATGGCGTTGATTCCAGTGTTTAAATCATTGGCCCCAACCTATAAGATTAGACCTTTAACGGATACAGAAAAAAGAGAAAAGGTAAGTAAAGAGGTGGCTCGTTTGCGTCAATTTGAGCAATCTTTGATAAATAATTACACCTTATACATCGATAACTTGTCTAAATTAGCGAAAGTATCGCTTCTGAACTCCCAAAACAATAAAAAAATCACCCCAGAACAGATAAAGAAAGGGCAATTAGCTGCTAAAGCTGCCTGCGAGTTATGTTTATCTTCGTTGCGTCATTTTAATTACAGAAACGAAATTATCTCTATTGTTGTTCGTCGTCTTAACAGAAAACCGAATAATACTGAAGATTTGGAAATCTTTACTAAATGCTTGAGAGTTTTAGAAACATTATTGAAGGACGATGAAGAAAATGGTGATATTTCGTTTGATTTAATAAGAATTTTGTGTCATTCAATTAGAGATAAAAAGTTTAGGGTTGATGAATCTGTCATAAATGTATTCTTATCATTGTCTCTTTTAGAAGACTATGATCCTAATAATAACAAAAATGATTCTCCCAAGCAAAAACTAAAGAAAAAAGATAGAGTTCACTTGTCTAAGAAAGAGAGAAAAGCTAGAAAAGAAAGGAAAGAAATTGATGAAGAGATGCGTAAAGCTGAACAAACTATAACCATCGAAGAAAGAGAAAAGTATCAGTCACAGGTATTGAAAATGTTATTGGCATTATATTTAGAAATATTAAAGGCTGGTTCTCATACGTCATCAACTCCTAATAACAATGCAAATGATCTCATGGCATCAGTATTAGAAGGTTTAGCCCGCTTTGGTCAAATGGCAAATTTTGATTTATTGGGTGATTTCTTAGAAGTGTTGAGAGAAATAATGACTGACATAATGGACGAACACTCTCTTTCAGATGATATAGAAGTATCAGATGAATTCGGCGGCATGTACGGTGGAAAGCAGATTAGAACCGTATTGTTATGTATTGCAACATCGTTTACATTAGTCACCAACCACTCAACTACTGGTAAATTGCCAATGACAATCGATTTATCGAAATTCGTATCATGTTTGCACAACATCTTGTGTGATATGGCACTTGATTGTGAGTTGGAATTTTCGCATAAATCATTAAGATTGGCTGACCCTTTGCAAGTGTCTACGATTTCAGAAAAACCTTCTGTCAACGTTTCTACAAAGTCTGAGCTATTATTGCGTTGTCTAGACTTTGTTTTCTTCCGATCAAGAAATGGTACTTTGCCACGAGCCACCACTTTTACCAAAAGATTATACATTTCAATTTTGCAGACTCCAGAAAAGACTTCTTTAGCGTCATTAAAGTTTATTGGAAAATTGATGAGCAGATATGGTGATAGTTTAAAAGGTTTATGGAACACTGAAGAAAGGATCAGCGGTGAAGGTACATATATCTTAGGTATAGAGAGATCTGATAGAGAAGTTGAATTAGAAAGAAGTAATAGTGGTGCTGCAACTCTATGGGAAAATGTCTTATTAGACAAGCATTATTGCCCAATGGTTAAAGATGGTTCTCGATCATTAATGAATAACAGCAAGCCAAATGAAAGAAGGTAGTAGTTATATAGTCTTTGTAAATACATGTATTTATAATTATAGATCCACAAGATAATAATTTACCGATTACTAGTCGAAGAAATTGACGAGGATGAATTTTTTTGTGACCGAAAATAAACTTTGCGATATTTGATAAAGAATGTAACATTCGAAGTTTTAAGGTACCATTATATATGATAATTGGTACTCTTGTTCATTATCATTGAATTGAGTATTTATTATAAGGACTTATATTCATACAAAATGGATCCTGCTATTGTTTTGTTTGTATTCATATTTGTTTCAGTTTGCTTCTGCCTTTTAATATTCGTTAGCGTATTTAGGGTATTCTTTGGCGGTTCGGAAAGAAATGAATATAGCTTCCTTGGATCAGAAATATTAGGATCGGAAGTTCCTCGTGAATTTTTGAACGACGAAGAGGCATTGAATCATTTGGCTTCAGAATACGACTTCACACATTTGTCCCCTGAAGAGCAATTCTCTTATTTAAGAGGTGAGGAATTTACTAAAACAAATCCGCCAAACTTTCATAATACAAGGGGTAAATCATATTCTAATGAGGATGATATGTTGCTTAAGGAGCGTGGTATTAATGCATTTGAGTTCGAACAAGACGCAGATATATTACGTGGGCGCTATATAGTTGCTGATAGAACAGAGATTAACTTTCATAATAATGACACCCCGTATTCTACAGCAACTTCCATATTGAATTACAGTCTACCAGTCAAAAACAGAGCGTATTCAGATACTGTTTATTTTGAGGTTAAAGTGTTTGAATTTCAAAATGGCAGCGAAAATCCAAATGGTCATTTTGCCATTGGATTAGTTACTAAACCTTATCCTAGTGATTTTCGTTTACCGGGCTACAACAATTTCTCCATTGCATATGAATCAACTGGTAACTTGAAGATCAATAAACCTTTCCCAACGCCATTACAACAACATCAAGGAGACAACAGTCAATATAATGCATTAGTTTTGCCACCATTACAACAGTCAGATATTGTTGGATTTGGTTATGTTGTGAGTACTGGTACTTTGTTTATTACCCGCAATGGTAAGAAAGTTATGGATGTAATGAGGGGATGTTTCATAGATTTGTATCCTGCTGTGGGTTGCTTTCTGTCGAACGCTAAATTTCAAGTTAATTTAGGTCAATTAGGTTTCGTCTGGATTGAGGCTAATGTCAGAAAGTATGGCTTTGTTTCAAATAGTGATTATAAGAAAATCAAAGGCGAGCAAGGTTTGGCTGCACTTCCAGAGTATGGTAATTCCAGCGTCGCTGAAGGTGACAAGCTTCTTGAAATGGGAGAAGAACTTCCACCACGATACCCAGAAGAAGAATTAGATTTTTTCGGAAGATCATCAAAAGATATTCTTAAAGTGGGTTCGTCTTCCAAGTCTCAAAATAAGACTAAGTCGTTTTCAAATAATGAAAAACAAGATCTCGATGAAATTGATGGTGAGCCTAAGGTTACTGAAGAACACCGTTCATCGGCAATTACCGATGATCCTGAAGAAGTCATGGATTTAAGAGAAAGACTCTATGAGCAGAACATTACTGGGCCCGAAAGTGAACTTAGTTCGGAAAGAGCACCATTAATCGGAAATAATGAAAGTCAGTCGGAATTCTACGTTAACGCAGAGGGTGCGACATCTTCTAGAGAAGGAAATACTGAAACTGATTTAAAACAGGCGACAGATGAGGAACCTAATTCGTCGCAGGAATTAACAAAAACTTCTCAAAGTGATTCTAACATATCAAAGACAAGCAGAACAAAAAAGAAGATGAGAAATAAGAAAAATTCTAAAAAAAATAAGAAGAAATAAAGCATAAATTTATATAAGACAGTACATATTTTCCTTCTCTTCTTTCCATCTTTTATAATGAAGTATTAATAGACGTGTAATAATTCACATTGATAATATGATTTTCATAATTCAAAAAAATAGCGCCGCCCGGTTTCGATCCGGGGACATCAGGGTTATGAGCCCTGCGCGCTTCCACTGCGCCACGGCGCTGAATCCGTTGTTTATATTAAATTCTGTATCGTGTAGTAATACGGAAGAATTGAAAGTTATTCTATTGGAATGATACTCTCTATATTAGCTTGGATATGGTCACGGTTAATAGATGTAATTGATGATTGTTAATTTCGTTGTTTTAAAACTAATTTTAAAGAAGTTTCGGAATTATTGAAAACATGAAGTCCTAATCTTCAATAGTGAAATATGTGAATTATTTACAAAATCTACGATAAAAGGCCAGTCATGCTAATTATACATAAATATCGTATTTTGAATAATAAAGTTTTATATTAATATGTACATATACTACAATTTAGAAGCTACTGTTGCAGAATTCGGTCAGCTCGTAAAGAAATATTCATGGACTAAAAATATATAGTAAAAGTGAAAATATTAGTATGATGAAGCAAAATAATGGGTTATTACTTATGATAAATTAGGATCTCTACTCATCGAATATATGTTATTATTATTGGCTAATGATGAGCCATTAAATTGAGTATTATCATCTTGATGTTGATGAAGTTGTGAATGATGGAAGGTAATCTGAGGTCTATAATCTCTTCCTTCTAAATGGGGAGGAGGTAAATATGGCACAGACGCGGAACTCAGTATAGACGAGCCTGAATCCGAACCAGGAGATGCTGATGAAAGCAGAGTTTTTCTTGGTCTTCCTCTTTCCCTTTTAGCAATCCGCTGGCCGTCAGAATGGAATAATTCTGCTTCTTTTTTCTTTCGTTGCTTAACTGTTCCATTTACCCTTATACCTTTAATAGTCAAACCTGTTTGTTCAATTGGAAATTTACGGGGTCTACCTCTTCTATCTTTTTTCTGAAGAAGCTGTTGCACGGCCTCATCTTCCAAGGTACGCATATAAGTCGGCTGATCGTATAATTTCGTTATTCCACCATCGGAATCAGATGGCAATGCTGTCAGTGAAATATGAGGTGGAGTGGATGCTACTGTAGATGATGTCTTGACCAATTTATTTAGTTGTTTGAAATTAGGATGTGTTGAGTCAATGTACTGGTTTGTAAGAGGATCAAGAATTAATTTCTTTGGACGACCTCTTTTCTTTTTAGAATCGTGCATGATTTGTAGTGGCTGACCATTATTAGTACCATTCAACTGGTGGTGATTCACGGGATGCTCTACTAAAGTAGGGTTGTGAAGTTGATGCTGACGCCGACGGGGCGGAAGATGCTGGGGATGTTGGATATGCTGTTGATGATGCTGTTGTTGATGTTGTTGCTGCTGCTGCAAGCTATGGAGTTGTTCTTGAAAAAACTGCTGGCCATTATGTGTTTTTGGTTGCAACGCCTGTGGCGGTAAACCCAACGGAGGAATATGCATACCATGTCCGATGGATGGCATTGGTGATTCCGCAGGAGATGTAATCATATGTCCATTAGAATGAGGATACACAAGTGGTCTCCCCAGTGTGAATGGATCTGTCGGTATTTTCAGTCTCTCGGAAATATTGATATTGATATTAGCGCTGCTATTAGTACTATTGGTATTATTAATATTACTCGTATTAGTATTATTTGAATTATTGAAACTAGGGTAAGGAAGATACATTTTGCTTAAAATTTTTATGGAAATCCTATTCTTAGACGCAAAATATCAATTTTATATACCCATATGCTTGTTCCTGATTATATTCAATTGAATATAGTAGATTGGTTTCTCTATTTGCAACAAGACTTAAAAAAATTTGAAAAAAAAAAAAAAAAAGCGAAGATACAAAAAAAAAAAAAGATGAGATCGCGTGCAGGTTAAGATTCAATTGATAAAGAATCAAGTACGAAAGTAAAATATCTATGTTTTATACATTATTATTTCATATGTATTGGTTTAATTAGTTTGTAATTTTAAGCTTTCTGCTAGGAATTTGAGAAAGTAAGGAGTCTTCAAAGTAATCAACAAATGCTTTCGAGTCAGTTAAGGATTCATTAAATTTAATCTTGAATTCAACATTAACACTATGCATGCCTTCATCTGAAACAGAAGACACAGAAGGAGATGGAGTAGATAAGCCCAAGATCTCATCAAATTCATCGGCAATGGCCGCAGATGATTTTGGAGATGCTACTGATCCAAAGAAATTGTAGTTGACATCGTAGACTTCGAATCTGTTCTTGGTGACGGATGGAGCCAATAAGTCATCAAACAAATCGGATTCGACCAAGGAGGAGGCGGAAGGCGAGGATGAGTATTGAGGGAATCTGTGAGAGTAGGTAATTCTTATGGCTGATTTGATGGATTTTTCGAATGCGTATTTAAATTTGTCTTTAGAAATATCTTCTGGGAATTCAGAGGTCACCTCGACCGTTAAGATATTGGAGGGTTTTTCTGGTTCGATTGTTTCTGGCTTACTGGCATCCTTTGGTTTTGGTTCTGCTAACTTAATGTTCGATAAGTCCAAATGTTCTCTAGACTTGATAAATTTGGCAATACTGGCCACAGCATCTTTCTTTATGTCTCCGACATATGCCAACACATCTCCCTTTAATAATCTACCGTTAGGGCCCGAGGCTGGTATTTTGGAAATGGCATCATCAGCGGAAATGTTATTCTGGTGCAATAACAATTCGACAGAAGGCATAAGCTTTTGATTAGGATTAGCACTCACAAATACGCTGTCGGCGTCGGTATCTGAACCACTCTTCTTTGCTTGGGTCTTTTGTTCTTTTTGCGTCTTAGGTTGTTCTTTTGGTTGTTCTTTTGGTTGCTCCTTGGCCTCTTGCTTAGGTGCTTCCTCACTGGCTGCTTTTGGCGCTTCTGACTCTAAAGATGGCTTTTCTAAGCTCGATAAATCATCGCCCGGCTCTGCTAAAAGAGCAATTGGCTTTCCAACTGCCACTCCACTGGCCCCATCGTTTTCCAAAACCTCCCACATAATACCGTCATCCTGTGCCTCGACATCAATGGTGGCCTTGTCAGTCTCAACCTCTAACAACACGTCTCCTGCTGAAAACTCGTCTCCAGCCTTAAATTTCCAAGAAACAATTCCTCCTTCCGTCATTGTAGGTGACATTGCAGGCATCTTAAATACTGAACCGGCATTCAACTTAACACTGCTATGAAATGCAGATTTCACGTATCTATTGACATTACTACGAATAATTGGTCTTAATGTACTACCTCTAAGCATATTGTCTATCCTTTATCTATATTTGATACACCAGGACAAGCTTCTTCTTCCAAACTCATCTATATATTGTATTAACGGTGCAGAATACCGGTGTATTATGTCCGACGGGTGCGACATATCCGCGACGCGACATCCTAAATGTCGCAAATTTATTCCCAGGAAATCCCCGGAAAAGGCTGGCGAAGCTCGCGACAGGAAACGACTTTTGCCGGGAATAGTTTTAGGATTTTTTTCATCAGAACACGAATATTCTAAAAACAGAAGACGTTCTTTACCTAAATCATTAATCCCATTATTATATATTTCATATATATATGGAATATTTTGACTTAACATACATATTCTATTATAGTGGATCATTTATCGTGGGCAAAACACTAAGTTTATATATTAATAATCGAATAATAAATACCACAGGAGTTGGGCTCATATATTAGGATAAGGATTTTATTTTTATTAGTGTAATAAGGACAACAGGGTTAGTATAGACATAGGAGACTATACTAAAAAGACGACATTGAAAGAACGTACGTACGTTAGACAAGAGAAACATATAGATATTGAAGATGAATAGTTTGACGAGAAGTGGTAACAGCATCAAAGGGCTATTTGGCGATGCATACTCGATATTGAGAAAATACTCCAGATTCATTGGACCCGGGTTAATGGTTTCGGTAGCATACATGGATCCAGGGAATTATTCTACTGCTGTGGCTGCTGGTTCAGCTTTCAAGTATAAATTGCTTTTCCTGATATTGCTCTCGAACTGCTTGGCGGTGTTTTTACAGATATTGTCAGCCAAGTTAGGGGCGGTAACAGGATTGGATTTGGCGGCCAATTGCAAGGCCAATTTATCGTTTAGAGTTAACATATTCATTTACTGCTTAGCAGAACTAGCTATCATTGCTACAGACTTAGCTGAAGTTGTGGGGACTGCAATTTCATTAAATATTTTGTTCGATTTACCGTTATTAGCGGGGGTAATAGTGACAGTCGTCGATGTATTGATTGTGTTGATGGCATATAGACCAAATGGTCCGCTTATATTCGTGAGAATTTTTGAGTCGTTTGTTTCAGTTTTGGTCGGAGCGACGGTGGTCTGCTTTGCAATTGAATTATACCAAGTGTCTCATGAAGAAGGAATTAATTTTTCAACTTGGGAAGTCATAAAGGGTTTCATGCCAAATGAAAAAGTGGTGGATATGAGCGATCGTGATGGAGGAAATGGGTTGTATTTAAGTTTGGCAATCTTGGGTGCAACGGTTATGCCGCATTCCTTGTATTTAGGGTCAGGATTAGTCCAAGCTAGATTGAAGGACTATGATATTAAACATGGGCATTACAAGCCTTTAACGGATGAACCATCTAACTCGGATGAAAATGCTGAGCCCGAAAATAACGACGAGTTTGAAAGGAATGTACACCCTGATCAATGCACAACTAATCCATTCGAAAAGGATGAAGATGAGGACGAAAATGATCATTATAGACCGTCGATACACTCGATTAATGATACAATGACTTACACCATAGTTGAATTAGTGATTTCATTATTTACTGTGGCGTTATTTGTTAATTCGGCTATTTTGATAGTTGCAGGTGCAACCCTTAACAATAACAAACATAAAAGAGACGATGATCATGACGGTAATGACACAGATGATAGTGACGATGAAGATGATTATCAAAATGCAGATTTATTCACGATTTACAATTTACTATCCACACACTTATCTCCAACCGCAGGATTTGTATTTGCTCTTGCATTGCTTTGCTCAGGTCAGAGTGCAGGGGTTGTGTGTACATTAGCGGGTCAAATGGTACTGGAAGGCTTTTTGCTGTGGAGTTTGCCGCCAATTACAAGAAGATTAATTACCAGAGGATTAGCTATTATTCCTTGTTTAGTGGTTGTTACCTTAGCAGGTCGTGAAGGATTGTCTGACGTTTTGAATATGAGTCAGGTCGTGTTGGCGATCTTGTTACCAGTTGTCAGTGCTCCATTGATTTGGTTTACCTGTTCGAAGGAAATCATGAAAGTACCTATTTTCGTCAGGGATGGGGATGAAGAGGTTGATATCATGTTAGATGACGACATGGATAGCGGTATTTCGAGAACAATCACTACCAGCAGCGCGGCTACCTTAACGAACGGTAAAGTAAAGAGATTCAAGAGTACTGAGCCAGCAATTAGATTGCAAGATTTGAGAAATTCCCATCCGTGTGCAGGGTGGGACGATGATGAAGCAGAAGCGTCTGAAGAACAACAACGTTTGATTAATCAGAATAACGACAGTGATAGTGAGATAACTACAAGCCTTGGTGCAAACGAATTCCAGTATGGCCAACATCATAGAAACATTTCAGCAGGAAGTGATACTTATGCCAATACTATAATTGAATCAGAAGAGGAAACATACCGTGTTAAGGGCTACAAGGATATGAGTAATGGACCGGTTACCGCATTTACGGCTGTTTTAGTATGGGGTTTCATCACTTGTTTAAACATATATTTATTAGGAAGTTTGATATTAGGCTATGATGTTCCACTTTGAGACTTCAATTGTCTTAATTATTATTGCATTATTCTAAATAATATCAACATTTATAGATTATTAACATTGCATATTTTTCATCAAGTTTTTGTAGTAAAATCTAAACCCTGTACATAAACATTTAGATAAAAATGATCGACGAAATTTTATTTAATATGGAACAGTTGAACTCCAATATTAAGGAACAAGAATAAACCAATAACAATGCCGTCGAAGTCAAATATAGACTCCTTTATTGATTTCTCGTCGCAATTATTAGAAGCATATCCATCTACCACCACGCTTTCAATAACATATGCGAATGCGTTGAAGAAACAATCAAAGAATAAAGACAAAGATGGGTCTAAAATAGATACTTCTAGCGATAGTAACAACAAAAAGGCCACCAACTCTGTTACGTTTAAATGCTATGAACCAAATTCTGGAAAGTGCATTAAATATAGTACTTACAAGATTAAAGAATTATCGAGGTTATTGACATTTATTGGTCCTAGAGGAGTGAGTGTTTCGAATACAAAGAAGAGACCAATTGAAAACGAACAAGATAAGGGCAATGCCAAAAAGACTAAAGTCGAGACTATAAATGAACACACCAATGGGTTGGCAAGTATTATGAGTAATGTTAAATTTGATAATGAAGAATCTTTATCTACCACCATTTCAAAGGTTGATACTCCTCCAGCCGAGGAAAAAGAAGCCGTGAACGCTAATAATGAACCAGCTACAAGCAGCAGTAAAAATAAGAAGAAGAAGAAGAAGGGAAAGAAATAGGTATATAATTTAGATACCATTACATAATAAATAAAAGGTTAAATATATTGAAACGTAGAACAAAAGAAGAGCTGTAAAACTAAAAGAGATTCAATAATATTAATACTATCAGATAATGATAATGATAATGGAAATAAACATAACTAACAACATACGTCACTGAGATTAAATGGGTTATATTAATTTGGTCAATTGTTGGAGTGATGAATGGAATGGAAAAAATTACTAAATAATTAAGCAAGAAGTATAATGGACGTTGGGTAAAAAAATGTAAGATATAAGCACACAGTCACAACCGCAAGAGGATTGAATACGAAAAAATTAAATGAAGGAGTTGGGGGTCAAATTAGGATACATCCACAAACTTATGATTTGAATAAACTCTTAAATCTTGAAATGAGGGTTTCTCTCTTAACAGGTGGCTTACTGTCAAAGTAATTTACGTTTGAATTAGTCTCAGAAGAAGTTGGCGATGGGAATGAGCCTGGGACCTTCAATATTTCGACCATTTCATCCTTGTGTCTCGTCCGCTTATCTTTAGCAGGAACATTCAGTTGAGAAAATATTTGCTTTGCGCCAGTAGATACATGCGGTGAAGTTGGATCAATATTTGACACCGAAGTATCAACGGTCGAGGAAACCTGATCCTTATTCTCATCAAACGGAGCAGAGAGGACTTCCGAATTGAAGACCGAATTGATGGGAGTGTTGAATTGATTTCCATCGGTGTAATCGTCGTCGTCGTCCATACCGGGCCCAGCTTCATTATCAAAATCCCCACGGTCATATTGACGAGTCTCATAAGCATCGCCAATATGCTCGTATTTCGAATCGCTCGTAGAGTCGTTGGTGGAAATGGCTGCGAATGACGAGGTTGCTGTCAAAGAATCACTATTTTCTTTAATGTGCTCGATCTCCCCTTTTTCTTTCGCAATATCTTCACCTCGCTCCCCAGCTACGGCATTATTCTTTCCAACACTACCAGCTTCCCCAATTACACCTTCTGAACCCCCCTGGGTCTCACCAGCGTCCTGCTCAAATTCCTCCACCTCCACCAACTCATCTGCATCAATATAATTGTTTTCAATCCCATTTTCGTCAAACTCCCTCTTGTAGCCTTCACTGGTAACCCAGTCTGTCCCATTGACAACAAACTTGAACACAAGCTTCTGCCTTTTGTCCACTCGGATTTGGTCACTAAACGTACCCGATTCCTTAGCCAAAGGTGCGTTAGCTTTGGCCCAATTGTCAAAATTTCCTGTAACCTGTACCTCCTTCACATCTGGATCACTACTGGTCCTATTTTACGTTAATATCCTGAATTTTCATCATAAGTCAAAATTTTCACATTTTGATCTACCTTCCTCACCACTACCACACCACGGATCACTTCCTTCCTAACATCTGCCATACATACCATTCGATTAAATAAGTATAATAAGCCATCTTCTATAATCCTATCTATAACACCTTTCCAAATTCCTTGTATTACTGAAATATTAAATAGACGGTTGATAAACTGAAAATCAATACAAATCTCCCTCATATAATGGCTGTAAAATTGTGATATCGTATTTGTTTGATAAAAAATCCGCCTGCGTAGTTATTACGTATGGGTGCACCGATGTATTCCCGGTTTAGGACGGGTTTAGGACGGGTTGTTGTTGATCCCTGAGAAAAAAACAAAAAACTTTTGTAGTGGTCGTCAAATACAGTAGATCAAGGGTTCGAGTTTGCCACGCGAGAAACCACAATCCACCAGAAAATCGATTTCCCGAGAATGGCTTAAAAGTCGACCGACAATGTCGGAAAAATGTCTCAGTCTGATGACATAATACACTGAAAAATTATCTCTGCCAAACGCGGTATAGAACAGGGTGTAAGTAGTTGTTGATATAGGTTTAGTCGTATTTCAATTGTTTCAAAACGATAATCATAGACTAGCCGTATACGGATATGAGTAAGAGAAGCAGTAGGCAAAACGCAGCTGCCAATGCTGCAGCTGCTGCTCGTAAAGGACAAGATAATACGGGCATTTTGACAATTGATCCTGTTATGGAGCCTCAATTTGAGAACGGTCAGTATAGAGAATATTTGGTGACCACAGCGCTGCCATTGTTGAGTAAAAAACGTAATGTGACATCGAAGGAATATCTTTTGGTTGCTGGGTTGTTGGTATGTGCTTTCTACGTCAGATGTTCGAACTTGGCGTACCCTAATTCGGTGGTGTTTGACGAAGTACATTTTGGAGGGTTTGCACGGAAATACATTTTGGGGCAATTTTTCATGGATGTGCACCCGCCATTGACCAAGATGCTTTTCGGGGCTGCAGGATTGTTAGGTGGGTTCAAGGGAGACTTTGATTTCAAGGCGATTGGAAACGAATTCCCTGCCACGACACCATACGTGACGATGCGTTATTTCCCAGCATTGATGGGCGTGGGTACGATTTTATTGTGCTATTTGACATTGAGAAACTCTGGCTGTAGACCTATCGTTTGTCTTATTACCAGTGCGGCCTTAATGCTTGAGAACGCAAATGTGACTATTTCCAGATACATCTTGTTGGACTCTCCATTGTTGTTCTTTATCGCATCAGCTATCTATGCGTTTAAGAAGTTTGAAGTGCAAGTTCCATTCTCGTTCGGCTGGTACAAATGCTTGGTTGGGTGCGGTATTGCTTTAGGTTTAGCAGTCAGCTCCAAATGGGTTGGTTTATTCACTATTGCTTGGGTTGGTGTATGTTGTGTCTACCAGCTCTGGTTCATTATTGGTGATTTGTCTCTCAACTGCAAAAAAGTGGCACAACATTTTGTTGTCCGTGGTAGTTTGTTATTGGGAATTCCTATTTTCTTATACTTGTTATTCTTTTCAGTACATTTCAAGTTATTAGCTAACGAGGGTGATGGATCTGCATTCATGTCAAGTGCGTTTAGAGCTTCGTTAAATGGTAATGCAATCCCAAGAGACATCACTTCAAACGTTGGATTTGGTTCAGTTGTTACTATTCGTCACTTGGAAACCCAAGGGGGTTACTTACATTCCCACAATCATTTCTATCCAGCTGGTTCAAAGCAACAACAAGTTACGTTATACCCACATTTAGATTCTAACAATGATTGGATTATTGAACCTTATAATGAAACCATGCCTGACACCTTTGTTCCTATTACTGACGGAATGAAAGTCAGATTGAAGCATGCTAACACCGGCAGAAGATTACATTCACATGATGAAAAGGCCCCTGTCAGTGAAAGGGATTGGCAGAAGGAAATTTCGTGTTACGGATTTGATGGATTTGACGGTGACGCTAATGATGATTTTTTTGTCGAAATCGTTGAGCGTAAATCGGCACCAGGTGAAGCCCAATCTTCTGTTAGAGCTTTACAAACAGTTTTCCGCTTAAAACACGTTATGACTGGACACTATGTTTTCTCAAGTGCTGTTAAGTTACCAGATTGGGGTTTTGAACAACAAGAGGTCACCGCTGCCTCCCAAGGTTACAGACCATTAACTAACTGGTATATTGAAACTAACAAGAATACCCGTGTTAATAATACTATAGAGGAAATTGTGAACTATCCAGTTCTCTCATTTTGGGATAAAGTCACGGAATTACATAAGAGGATGTGGAAAATCAATCAGGGTTTAACCGACCACCATACCTGGCAATCTGCTCCACACGAATGGCCATTATTATTGAGAGGTATTAACTATTGGGTTAAGGATCACAGACAAGTTTACTTTTTGGGTAACGCCGTCGTATGGTGGGCCTCTTCAGCAGCCATTGTGACATTTGCAATACATGCGTTATTCTCCATAGTCAGATGGCAAACTGGTGCTCGTGTTGCTGGAAATAAACATGTCTTCAACTTTAATTCTCAAGTATTTTTATACACAGTTGGTTGGGCATTGCATTATTTCCCATTTTTTATTATGGGTAGACAATTATTTTTACACCATTATATCCCTGCTATCTATTTTGCCATATTAGCATTGGGCCACTTCTTTGATATTCTTGTTAGTTATCTTACTGCAAGATATAAGATGTTAAATAAAGTTTCTTATGGTGCATTAGGATTATTTTTAACCTTTGCCTTATTATTTTATGTCCAATATTCTTCGCTTATTTACGGTACCCCTTGGACTCGTGAAAAATGTGAAGCTTCCAAGGCTATAGGAACTTGGGATTTTGATTGTAATGCCTTTTTGAATAATATCAACGAGTATTCAACATTACTTACTACAGCTACACAAACCCCAATCCCAGACGATCCAGCTGCACCAAGCGATGCACTTGAAGCAAAGGAAGCGAAGGAGACTCCTCAAGCTGCTCAAAAGAAAGTTGCAAAAGAAGAGGAACATCAATCTGAAGCTGAGAATGCTGAGGAACCAAAATCTGATGAAAAAGTTGAAGAACTTGTTCCACCATTAGCTGCTGATATTGAAGAGACAAAATAATTATTATAGTTTACATTTCGTAGATAGCTACCTATACATTTCGAATATATATCTTTTATTTCATAGTATTAAACAGATATCTTGTCCGTAATCTTTAGTCACATGATCAATTTTAAACCAGGAAAAATGTATCCTATTATTCAGTAGATCGATATATCATCAAATACTTAACGCTTTACAACTCATTTAGCTTGACATTCATCTTCCTACTTTAAATTCGAATATGTCAGAGGTGGAGAATAATTGTAGAGTGTGTCGAGGTGAAAGCACACCTTCCCAACCTTTACTACATCCGTGCAAGTGCCGTGGATCTATCAAGTATATCCACCAGGATTGTTTGCTAGAATGGTTGAAACATTCTAATAAATCTACTAAGAAATGTGATATTTGTAACACTCCGTATAAATTCCGGACTATTTATGACCCACAAATGCCAGAACGGATTCCAATTAAATATATTTGGGGAAAATTTATTGAAGTTGTTTCGTCAACTACCATCAAGAGCTTGTCAATTTTCCTCTACATCACTTGTCTTATAATCCAAGTTCCGTTATTTTGGAAGTTTATGGGCCGTATTGCGACTTGGGCAATTGATGGGACCTTACCAACAGCCAATCCAACTTTTATAGAGGCTTTACTATTTGGTGAGTTAGACTTTCTGAATTATGATATACCAACGAGTACAGCAAAGATGTTTTTGTTTAAAATAAGAAAATTTATCGACTACACTTACTTTAGTGGAATTCGTTATATACTAATGTATGTAATTATTCATTTGGCTTTATTTGTTGAGCATGAATGGGTTGTGAGAGATGAGGGTTATACCAAACTTTTGCTTCGAAAAATTGGTAAGGAGCCCAGAGCTAAATTGGTTGATATGTTGCAACAGGCTTTATCAGGGTTAAGAAATGATGGCGAGGAAGGTAATGCTGATGCAAATGCGAATGTTCAGAGATTGGAAACGATCGCAAGAGCAATAAATGATTTACAAGAGCAACCTAATAATGGCCAACATGAAGAATTATTAAGAAGAGCAATCGAACAAGATGATAGACAAAACAACGAAGACGAAAATGTTGAAAATGTGAATCTCAACATATTTAATCATGAGAATGAAAATCAGAATGAAGATGAAAATCAGAATGAGAATGAGGATGAAGCCAGACATAATGTAAGAGATACAACCGATGATGACATGGAACTGAATGACGAAAGAAGAACTATTTATTTGCGTCCAGAGGCCGAACAACAGCATCAGCAAAATCAAGTAGATGGACTTTTCCATGAAGAGCACCGTGAAGAACAAAGAGGGGTAAGGAATGATAACGTAGCTGACCTTTTTGACCAAGCTAATCAAAGAATCGATCAAAATGACTTGTTTGAGCAAAATCCATTTGACGATGTTAATGATATGAATATGGATGATGCCGAAGACGATTTGAATGGCGCAGGGGGAGATATTTTGCAACTTTTAGGTATGAGCTTGAATTTGAGTAGTCCAATTTTTCTTATGATTATGTGTGATGTTATTATTTGCATATACCTATTTGTGACATACTTATTTCCACATATGTTAGGTAGTTTATTTGTAACAACTACAGGAATTACATTAGGATTATTGAATTCCTTTGTGTTTAAACGGGTTTATCCATCGTCTTTGATACAGAGATTTAATTCCATTATATTTACAGAGAATGATAAAATTGCAAAAACGGGCAATGACTTTCTTGATTTTACTTTGTTCACAGTCTTTGAAGTTATAGTCAAGCCAGTATCGTCTACATTTCATCGGTTAATAATTGATCATGATTTATCACAACCTACATTAATAGAAAGAATTATTTTGTTGACAATTGGTTACAGCATTATTGCTTTCGTTGTTTATAAATTTATGAACAGTTTAATTTCAGGAACTAAACCAATAATGGGTACGCCAAGGAAGCTTTATAAAATTTTATTTGAAGTAGCGTCGACTACAAAAGTCTTCATTATATTTGCTATTGAAATTTTCTTTTTTCCAGTATATTGTGGTTGGCTATTAGATTTTTGTATTGCCCCAATCTTATTGTCTCATTTTTCCAGAATTAGTGATGATGGATCCGTCACTTTTACTATTTTATTATCGTCTGAATTGGAAATTCTCCAAATTCATTACATCCGTGTTGTTTTGTATTGGTTACTGGGAACGCTTTATATGCTTTTCTTTGCATTATTTATTGGAATGATTAGGGGCCAAGTCTTGCGTCCGGGTGTTTTGTTCTTTATAAGATCACCAGATGACCCGAATGCTAGATTAATTCACGACGCATTAATGAAACCATTAATGTTGCAATTGTCACGCATATATTTAAGTGCTAAGGTTTATACTGGATTTATCTTAATAGGCATAGGGGGTGTTACATGGGGCTTAAGATATTTGGTAACTCCACCAAAGGAGGTTTCTCACAACGTTATGTTACCATTGCAGATACCTTCTGTTATGTCAGTTGCAATTACTTGTATTGTTGTGGGTGATATCATTCTAAATAAGTCTTTGATTACGACTTATTGCCAGTCATATTGGACAAGAATCTTTGAAATATCGGCTCACAAATTGCGTTTATCACATTTTATATTGGGAAGACCAATAGCCCAAGAACGTGGGTATATTGTTTACAGGAATACTTTTCATAAATTATTAGGCTTTTCACAACCAGACTACTCAAACCCAGTCACATATAGAGATGCTTTACGTATATTTAAGACTGATAGCCTGGTGAATGCCTGTTTTGTTCCCGATGGTAATTATGTAAGAGCACCAGATAATGATACTGTTACAAGGAAGTTCATTAAAAAATTATTTGTATCTGTCACTAAGGACGACAAACTATTATCGGCCAATGAATCCGAAGATTCCAATAAAAATGGATACGAGTCTGATTCAGATGACGATGAGATCAACACCGACGATGCCTACACAATTGTGTATAGACCTCCAAATTTTAAGATGAGATGTCTTGGTTTAATTTGCATGTTATGGGTATTCTCTGTCGTATTGATATTGGGGATTGTTTTTGTAGGCTTGATAATCGGAAGGCCAATCATCAAAGCATTTACCATGTTGTTAGATCTTACAATTACATCTGAACAATCTTTAGATATCTACAATACAATTTTCACTCTAACTGAATTTGATTGGAAATTGGCCGATATATCGTCTATTTTTATTGGGATCAAATTCGAGCTAGCAATATTGAAATTCATTGATGTCAGAATTAAACTGCCAGCTGAAACTGGAGTTAACAATGAAGTAAATGTTCAAGGAAACGGCGAAGAAAGAAATAACGAACAAGGAGTAATGGCATTTGGTAGAAATTTTGTTCCTAGGTTTGGACAAGTAATAGTTGCGTCATTCCTAGTTTATTCATTGTCGTCAGTTTTATGGATTTTATGGGTTTTATCAGTTCACAAATTTTGCATTGATTTACCATTAAGAATGTATACTGACAACATATATTATAGTGATGATAATCCAGGACATGTGTTGATGGAATTTTTATTCACTAAAACTGCAATGATGATTCATTTTATTGTTGGATTTTGGACGATTGTTCCATTCTGCTTATATTTCACAGTAGATTTGAGGAATGGCATGTTGAATGGGTTGGGTATCCGAGACTCTATTTGGAAGTCCGGCTTAAGCACAATTTTAGTTAACTTCGGAATTGTCCATGTGCCAGCCATATTATACACCCTATTTAAACATCGTCAAGAATCGTTTGAGTCAATAATACTTGAAGATAACGATGCATACATCTGGTGCGTTACTTTGATATGCTTCATATCTATTAAATTAATTACGGGGGGCAGTAGATTACTTATCAAGATCAACGAACAAGTGAAAAACGAAAGATACGTCAAGGGAAGAGCTATAGAAAATATTGATATACCAGACGAAGAGTGAATTACTTATATTTTGTAAATATGCAGAACGATTAAATAAATATTTAAGGAGATAGCTTACATCTGTAGCGTGGGAATATTAGTTCTCATCGGACCCTTCATCTTGCTGTCTTAATGTTACGTTTCCAGTAACCTTTCTCTTTTTCTTTTTGGGATTAGGTTGTTCGTATTTATGTTTATTATTATCGTCATCATTATCGTCATTATCTTTCTCAGTAGCACTTAAGTTGGATACTACATTCTTATCATCAAATATCTTCTTCGCTTTTTCAATTTTTTGACTTTGATTTATAATATATTCCAACCTTGACAATTTATATGGGTCATTTCTTAAAGCGAACGGAAAATCATCAATCTTAACTCTAGATCTTCCTTGGTTTCTAGCAAATTGTAAAGTCGTATGACATAGATCGCTGAGATATGTCACTAATGTCTCTTCCAAGGCATTCACTGTTTGGTCAGAGGTGTAAGGTCCATCGCCCAAAGAGTACAATAATTGTTCAATATCTCTAGTGAAAAGACGTTGCTTTCTTCTCCTCTTTGTATTATTTATAGGTGGCTGTGTATTGAATGACATTCTTGTAAAGAAGCACCATATCTAACAGGTTTAGGCTAATTGTAGAGTAGAAATACCTTGTAGCCATATTGGTAAACACACTACCAAATAACACCAGTATACTAAAATGTTGCATTCCAAATTATATACTAATTAGAACTGGTTATACAGAAAAATGCAAATGCTACCAGTCTATGGGCCTGAGATACATTGGGGATGTCAGTCCATAAAAAAAATACTACTTAATTACTTTACTAGTTCGTGGTATATGATGCCTTCGACTTCTGTGCTACTACATTCCGGTAGTTTATTGAAGGCTTTCGGCCCGGACAAAATTTCAGAGATGCAGCCCTTCAATTGACCCAGCTTCATATCTTCGATCGTCATTTTCCTACAACATCCCAACTTCACCAATTCATCGGCCACTTCCTCCTGATGCTTGTTCATCAATTTATCATTGGTGACCACGATAAGCGGCTTTTCCAATCGTAATGTATCTATAATTGAGCCTGTACCTGCATGGGAAACGACCAAGTCGGATTCGGATATGAAGTGGCCAATATCGTTCGAAAAGGGGAAAACCACAATCTCAAACCCACGATACTTACTCGAGCGATATGTAACCACATTGCTATCATTTTGCGACCCTGCCACCACCTCCAATTGAAGCAACAGCTTCAATTTCCTATCTTCCACGCACCGCCTATAAAATTCTTCACTGACATGTTTCTGCGTGCCCCTTTCGATTTCATTGCCGTACTGGACTATCATTCTGGTAATCGCATTCCCAATGATAGTCTCCACTATAAAATCATAGCCTGTAATCACCTCAATTAATTGCCTAAAAGTCACGGTGGCACCGCTTGTAAATAATACGCTTGTCATTCCAAGTATGATACGCCTTTTGCCTAATCCGAAATATAGCCGGTTATTCAGATTACACGAACACAAAAATTCCAAAGTCAACGAGTCAATGATCTAATGAGATAAAATTACCGTAAAAATGACCAACAAAATATCCCAATAACCTTTAACACCAATATGTATACCACAGTGTTCTAACCAACAGATACCAGATCTAGATTGGTGGTTTCTGGCTTGAAGTAATGATTATCAAATGTCGTGTTTATCAGTTTTTTTTTTTTTTTTCTTTTTGTGTAGGAAAATGTCGGAGCCCAAAAAGTTGGTATTATTATGTCCGATGGAAAGTCTTCATTAATATTTTGCAAAACTTGGATTATTAACGATTTGAATAGACAAGATAGATATAAGACTTATTACGTATATACTGGATAGATTTGGTAGACAGGTATAGTAATATTGAGTATTAAAATAAGTTGGTTGATAGTTTAAGGATAAACTAGACGTATAATGGATACGCAGAGAAGTTCAACTTCTAGTAATAAGTCGCCCAGTTCATCGGCATCCACTCCACAATCAGCTTGCTGTTTGACATCAGGGGCTACCCAGCCGATACCGAAGAAGTCACAGCAAATTAAAACGGATAAACCGAGACCGCATATCTGTTCAATATGTACTAGGGCTTTTGCGAGATTGGAACACTTGAAAAGACATGAGAGGTCGCATACGAACGAGAAACCGTTTCAATGTGCTGTTTGTGGACGATGCTTTGCCAGAAGAGACTTGGTGTTGAGACATCAACAAAAATTGCATGGAAGTTTGCCTAATATCATGCGCCGGGGTTCATCGAAGGACGTGGACATCAACGAACACGTTATTGTGTTGACCAATAATACGGATGCAAACGCACCGCTTCCAGCTTCTTTGAACCTGGACGGGTCGTTGGCCTTATCCAACGGTGTAAATTCGTTGTCTCCGGGGCAGTCGCAGCTTTTTTCACCACCCAAAAGCAACGAATATGGGGGACCAAATAATGCGAATAACGTTAATATGAGCTGCGCTAATAATAATCAGAACCAGAACAGCCAGAATCAACAGGGTCAGCTTCGGACTTCATTATTTAACCACCTTAATTCCTACTCCTTGAAGTCGCAAAGTTTGGGTAATAACCAGTACCCGGGGACCAGTAATAATGGCACGGTTATACCGTCGCCGATTCCGACAAACTCGAATCACAATACCCCTCCTAACTTGCCCCACCAGAATACGAACACTTCGCTTCCAAATGTTGCGCAACAACCATCACCCCAGGCTGGTGATTCTCCTAACAAGCATACGAAGCAGTATAATAATATTCCTCCTCATTTACGCCAACAACAATCCCAATATCGCCATGCGTCATTCTCGGCGTCTTCAGCAACATCATATACTAATGTGAAGGATTCTCTTAATATTCTGCAAAATAACACCATTGCTGAAGCACCAGAGCACGTAGAGTTTGCTACTCCTCAGTTATCGGCAATGGACATACATTCGAAGCGTTTAATATCTGAGTTGGATTTGCATTCATTGGGTCTTGATATCGATAATATAGACAGTCTTGATTTAGGACATAATTCGCATCATCCAGCTTTTAATCAATTGCCTCACAGTTCAAATCATGCCTCAAAACAGATTCCAAAGGATTCATATGAGGAGCAGGAGCTCATAGCTGCGCATCAGTTTCAAAATCCAAACCATCCACATCATATTAAAGGTACAACTCCTATAGATCCTGATATGTATGCACCAAATGATGCTAATATGATGCAACATATGCTACAGATGAATGGTATTAATAACGAAGCAAGTTTTGAGAATTTGCCAAATATGTCTAAATATGGTGTTCGTCATGAATTTGCTTTGAATAACGCAGTAATACTGGAAAAACAAAAGAGGAAGACCAATTCTGCTACAATAAATCCACCAGATCGTAAAAGACTGAGGACTGATATCAGCATTCAATCCGGAGATGATTGGTTAGAGGATATGATCAATGCTCCATCTGCATCTACATTTTTTCCGGCATCGTACCATGCTGGATTTGAAGATTCTGCGGAATTTGTACCCGGCCAGGTTGATGATATCTCTTCATTATTTAGAGCAAGACAAGTTGACTTGCAACAAATTAATCCTTCAAATTCTAAAATCAAAGACGAGAATGAAGCTGATATCAACGTTGTCTTTAGTATAAATGATTCACAGTCTAATTTCATAACCGAGGAATTGCGGAATCGCATCATTTTAGTCAGTAACTTGTCAAATTTACAATTCCCTCCATTAGAAGAGCTAAACTCATATATGAAATTATATGAGAAAGAATTCAATAAGTTCTTCCCATTCATTCATTTACCGTCTTTAAAGAACCCAATGGTTGATTGTTTTGAAAACATTCCATTATTGCTTGCAATGGGGACTATAGGTGCCTTGTATTCTTATCACGACAATAATTCTTTGCTTTTATTTAATTTATCTAAATCGCAGATTCAACAATTTTTTGAAAAAGAGGTTACAACGAAACATTTAGAACTAAGGAAGATACCACTAATGGTCCATCAATGCTTAGTATTGCACATTTTCATTGCAATGTTTTTAAATGAGCCGGACATGGTTGATATTACGTCGAAACAAATGAAATCTATGGTGGGATTAATTAAATCGACGGACTTCAATAAACCTTTGGAAAGATTCTTGGTTCCACCATCTCTAATTGATAAAAAGGACCCAGGAAGTATTCAAAGCAATTTTGATTATTTCATAATGGCTCAATCGCGGGTGCGTACCCTTAATTGCTTTTATATGCTTGAAGTGTTCAGAACCTCACTAATTAGGGTTCCAATCCAGTTTTCTGCATTAAATGTTAGCTGCGGTACTCATTGTTTGAAGGAGAATTTATGGAGAAGTAATGATTCAACTCAATGGATAAACCAATTAACGAATAACACTCAACCATTGATTGATTTGAGTAATGGAGAATCGTTACAATCAATGATCAGTGATTTGAACAATCATTATCATGATACTAAAATGTCCTTCTACGGCTTGTTATCATTATTAATGTATATCCACGAGCAAATTCATACAGAGGTATTGAAGTATAAGCAATTCAATTCTACTTTATGGAGATTAAACTCCAGACCACGTTTGGAATCCCTAATTAAGTCATGGGAGTCAATTTTTATCAAAAACGGTGGGATTTTAGTTGTTAATGGCCACAATAATCACTTGCTAAATGCAAATAATGAATTCAAGATTATTTTGCCTCTTTATTCGCTTGCAAAAATAAAAACATGTATGAACATAACCCCAATAATGGAAAGGGTGTTGTATAAAGATTGGAATGGTATGAATCAAACTATATTGTCGTTAGATGATGATAAGGAAGCATTGAAAGAATGTGTCTTGCACTCTAACGAAATTTTGTCGTTATGGACCCATAATGTTTCGATAGTTGATGATTCAAAGCGGACATCTTTAAGAACACCAGTTTTTTTTGTTACGTGCGTATTTGCTTCAGTCATGATTATTTCCCACTATTTGTATTCTATGGAAGAAACAAAAGTTCAAGGTTTAAGTCCATCTGAAAAGAGTCTCTGGATGAAGTGCGAAACCATATTACAAACGGCTGAAAAGGTGTTACCACCTATTGGTGACACCAAGAACTATTCAGAGTTTCTTAAAAATCAATTTGCAGGAGTGTCACTGTCGGATATTAATACTACAAAGAAATTGATATCTTCAAATTCAAATGAAGGTACAATTATTGCATCCATTAAGAAGTCCAAATTATCTGTTAAATGCTTATATTTGGGTTTACATATGTTGGCAGATACGTCCATTTGGCCCTTGGCAATGGGATTCGCTGAAGCACTTAAGAATAGAGCGACATATATCACAAATCGTAAATAGATTGATACAATTTGCATAATTATTTATTAACCATTTATCTTTGTAAAAGTCACGAGCGCTAATATCGAAAAAAAAAAAAATTTAAAAAAAATTTAAAAAGAAATTGCAAATATCTATTCAATAGTGTATCTAAGTAGTAAGATATTTCAAGTAATCAAGGTGACTTTCTTCAAAACTTATATCACAGGAGCTTTGAAAAATATCTCTTTAGG